CCGGCGGCGGCGGCGGCGGCGGCGGCGGCGGCAGCGGAGCCCCCAGCCCGGGCCCCGATGAGTAACTCGCGCAACAACCGGGTGATGGTGGAAGGGGTCGGGGCGCGGGTGGTTCGCGGCCCGGACTGGAAGTGGGGGAAGCAGGACGGTGGCGAGGGCCATGTGGGCACTGTGCGGAGCTTCGAGAGTCCCGAAGAGGTGGTGGTGGTGTGGGACAACGGGACCGCCGCCAACTACCGCTGCTCCGGGGCCTACGACCTGCGCATCCTGGACAGCGCTCCCACCGGTAAGGCTGCAGGGCGGAAGGATCGTGGGGAATTGTAGGTGCAGTAGCGGGCGAACAAAAGCTTGCAGGAAAGACTCCCAACACCAGAGGAAATGATGGGCGCTCCATCATCGGGATGTCTCGAGCTGCCCGACACAAAGCCCGGGAATGCAGCAGACACAGTTGTACTCCTCCAGGGAAGGGGTGTGAGGGAACCAGACCCCATTGACATTAATCAGCCGCCAAGTGATAACTGTTTGAACCGAGGCTTGCATGGCCATATGGTGCTCAGTTGCTAAGGGGCGTGGGGGGGGGGTCTCAGATTTGTTGAGACAGCTTCTCCCCACCCCCACGCCTCCTGTGACATGAAATGACTTGAAGTTCAGTCGCTGAATGCTTTTTTGGGGCTCAGAAACGATTTTCATCTAAATATAAAACCTTTGTATCAAGAGGAAATGGTAGTCTGATCTCTTGAGCCACCAGTTAGGGTTACTTTTTCAAGGGAAGGCATGCATATGTGCTATTGGATGTTCTTTTTTGTTAGAAGCTCCTGTCATGTGCTGTGAGGTTCTGATCCATTCACCCATGGAATTAGTGTTTTTGATTCTCTACATTATAGGGGTTGGTTTGTTAATGACAGTAGTTTTAATATATGATAAATTGAAGATTTTTCATCAAAGTAAACATCTTATATTAATCTCATTCTCAGGTGGATTTATCCTCGATAATTGAAATCCAGTAGAAAATAATTCAGGTTTAAAATTGAATACTATTGAGAATTCTTTTGCGTTCTCTGTGCTGCTTGAAGACACTATAGTGGAGCTTGGGGAAGCCTAACAAATCATAAAGTGGGGTCATAGTTAATCGTAGCAGCAATAAAAAAGAAATGAATATAAGCGAACGCAACTTATGAACAGCTTTTTAAACCCCAAAAGGGATACATTTGCATGGTCACAAAAAAGTAAAAAAGCACAAAAGGGATCGGCATTGTTACCAGTTTCTTGTGTAATACTGCAAGCATAGATGTGAACATACTGGAAACAGAAGCCTGTCTGGTTTTGATTTTTTTTTTTTTTTTCCCCTTTTCTGGTATTGGGAATTGAATCCAGGTCCTTCAAAGTAAGCTACATCTCCAGCTCTTTTTTATTTTTTTATTTTGAGACAGGATTTTGCTAAGTCTCTGAGCAGCCCAGGCTTGAACTTATGATCCTCCTACCTCACTTCCCACAGTGCTGAGATTACAAGCATGTGACAGTATAGCTTTATTCCACTTTTTAAAGTACAGATGGTAGTTAACCGTTTTGCACTTTTGTGTCTTTCCTCTTCATAATTCCTTGTGGTGATGGGAACATGTTAACTCATCTGTACAGACTACTTGATTCTATCTTATTCTTTCATGGCTGTGTAGTATTCCACGAACTGGATGCCAATATTTGCTTAACCAGTACTTAATTGATAGGCATTTATATTATTTAAGGCCTTCTTATTTACAGTGCTGTCTTTCTGCATAGGGACTGAGAACTGCTGAAGTGGAATTACTGTTCCAAAGCATGCATATATTTTAAAGTCCCCCCCCCCCCCCCGCCGCCGCCAGTCTTTCATACTAATTTCAGTGTTTTTTTTAAAAAAACGAGGGGCCGGGGAGATGGCTCAGTGGAATAAGCACTTCCCTGGCAAGCGTAAGGGCCTGAGTTCAGTCCCCGATTCTGAAAAAAAAAAAAAAGAAAAAGTTGATATTATATCACATTCTACAATGTAATATTTATTGACACTGTATTACATTGTGTCTTACATTCAGTAACTGATACTTATTTACAGGTTAGTTAAAATTAAATTTAACTTTTATTTTGAAATAATTTCAGGTTTACAAAAGTATTGGAAAATCAGAATTCTCATTTGTAAATTTTGAAACCTAAAAATTAGTGAATTAGTGCTAATATGACAGTAATAGGTACCCCCCCCCCCCCCCCGTCACTGGGGATTGTCCCCAGTACTAGATAGTCTATTAAGCCTATTCACATTTTGCCAGTTGTCCCACTAGGGATCTTTTTTGTGTAGGATCTAAGATCTTGTGTTGTACTTGGTTGTACTTAGTAGTAGTCCCCAATGTGGGCCAGATCCTTGCTCTTTGTCTTTGATGACCTAGACACCACCTAGTAATCATGTAGCCTGTTTCTCAAATTGGATTTGTGGGATTTTTTCTTCATGACTGAGTTCAGACTGTGTATTTTGGGTAAGGGTACCATAGAAATGATGCCTTGTCCTTCCTAGTGTAACTTATTCCAGAAGGCACTTTATCCTTTTACCTCATTAGTGAGAGTGTTAACTTGGCTGAGTCACCAGCAGGATTACCCAGTGTTGTTTTTGCGCTGTCAGTGTATGCCAGTATGAAAGAGGCTATGCAAATACTTCTGACCACAGGAAGCTCCTAAGAGGTTTTTGAGGATTTCCTTAGGGGTTCAAGAACCACACTGAAAGTTACTACCCTAGCAAGAGTTTTTCATTGAGCACAAAGAGGTTTGTAAAGAATGTTGACAACAGTGTTACATGTTATAGGAGAGATTAGAAAAAACCTTTAATTTGGATCAGTAGAACAAATAAATGAGCTGTGTATTTGTATAGTGGAGTACTAGTAGTACAAAAGAAAAAGTTAATGTTAAGTAAGTAAAATGTGCAAAAGAAAGCCTATCTTGTTGGTGCTAGCAGGTCTGAGCTGACTGCTAGAGGCTGTTAGCCCTTAGGTTTAATGGCCTTCTAGAGCAAGAAATTACTGGCATCCTTTGGAATCTTTCATTGACCAGAGATGGCAACTCTTATCAAGTCTGTTGCTCTTAGTAGTTTTCTGGCTGCTAACTACCCTTGGTGTTACCAGACCCAGCTTGTGCTGGTTGCCCTTTGTGCCAGAGGCTTTTGGTGTTAGTGGTCCTTAGTGTACCAACTCAGGCTTCTTGGCTTAGATGGGAATCGTGAGTAGGTGAGTGTGCCATCCAGTCTTTTATTTATTTGGTACAGGGTCTCACTACATAGGTCAGACTCGCAGTCACCCTCCTGTCTCAGCTTCCCCACTGCTGGGATTACAGGCGTGGGCCACCATTCCCAGTTTCAGTGGCTGGCTTAGTGCGCCCAGGGTTCTGGGTCAGCACCACATGCAGTACTGGGGATTAAGCTTGGGTCTTTGTGCTTGTCAGGCAGGCACTTAGACCACTGAGCTATCTTAGCAGCACACTGCAGACTTTCTTAGTCATGGGTAGGGTAGAGGGCTGTTCCGGCACCTCAAAAAGGATTATTGTAGAGGAATGGAATCATCAGGGATGGACCCTCCATGGAGGCTTGCCGAAACCAGAGCAGAAGTTTTGCAGAGCAGCCATGGTGTGTCTGATGTAGCTGTAGCTGGCTATAAAGAGTTTGGGACAGCTAGAGAAAAAATAGAAAGTAGCTTATGGGGAGCATTGGGTCCTTTTCTGTCCCACTTGTGTCCTGTGTTTTGTAGGCGTGCATCCCTGGCTTCTACTCATCAGATGCAGTAGCATATAGTCTCTCTTATAATAGTTACATTATCTTTGGGCATTATCAAATGTCCCCTGAATGGGGGTGCAGAATTGCCTCTGGTTGAGACTCACTGATACAGGGAAGATGTGTGTATGTGTGTGGTGAAAGTATGCCAGAAGGTAATCGTAAGCATGAATGGGGTGGGAAGGGAGTGGAGTGCAGCTGGAGGAAGTACAGCAGGGCTTTCACTGTTTTACAGTGCTTTGTGTTTTAAACTGAATGGTGGCTGCACATGTGTTTGTTGGATTTGTATGTGTTTGGTATATTTTATAGTTAAAAAGATATGGTGTTGTGCTTATCAGAAGTGTGGTTGCCTTTGATTTTAATTCTTCCCTATTTACATCCATATTATGTAAACTTAGAATTTATGGCAGTATGATTGGGAATTAAGAAATGAGTAATTTGTTGGCAAGGAATACAGCTTAGTGATGAGTGGTGGCCTAGCACGCATGAGGTCCTGGGTTCAGTCCCCATTACCGCAAAACCAACCAAACAGATGAAACTTTCCAAAGCATAAGAATTAAAAAAAGAGAGAAGTAGGTAATTTTCAACATAACATGTGTAAAACATTTTGGTAAGTTAAGGTTTCTGGAGTAGTTAGTTGGATCATTTTCAATTTTTCTGATATCTTTTTTTTTTTTTTTTTTTTTTTTTTTGTGGAACTAGGGATTGAACTCAGGCCCTTGCGCTTGCCAGGGAAGTGCTTGTTCTACCGAGCCATTTCCCCAGCCCCTCTGATATCCTTTTAACCACATGTTGGAGATTTTATTTGTGAGTAGGTGGTGTGGGGGTAAAATAACTTGGCATAGAAGCTTTATTTTTTTCCTTTCAGGAGACGCATCGAGGATAGACAAACTTTAGGAAGCAGAGTGCATGGTATATATTCAAATGATACAACTTTTGTCTGATTTGTAGATAAAAACCTAGTGAAAATACATGAGTTATTTACTTTGGTGTTAATTTTGTAGGCTGTGTTTGAGTAGGTATAGTGGATTTTGTACTTACATACTGATTTTATGTAATTGGGAAAAGGTATGTTTTGTGATCATTACTACAGTTTCTTATTATTACTAAAGAGTATGAAAACATGAATTTGGATTTCTTATTAAGATTGTTTTGGTGTGTGTAACAAAGAAGAAGTAAAGAAAATAAAGTATTCAAAACTAGCTTCTGGTGCTAGTCAGTCCGTGCTGTTTTGGGCATCGCTTTGTCCTTTTCTTCCAACTCTTAACAGATCCTATCTGGAGAATTTCTTCAGATGTTTGTATTCAGTTGAAGGTTTCAAAGTGCTGACCCTAGATAAAGAAAGAAAGGTGTTCATTATCCTCATTTCCTTTTCTGAGGTCCCCTATTCTCCTCTGACCTGTTTTTCGAAGAAAAGCAGGGGCAGATCCTTGGGAAAGCACAAGACCTGGGTGAACAGTGTAAATCAGTAAATCAGCCAGAGGACCACTGTATTACTGCTCCCAACT